GTGTCAAGGGATTGAAGTTGGAATGGGAAAATGGTTTCATGGAAAATTACATCTCTAGAGATGAATATTCTCTTAGTTTGAATGTCAAGCATTCTATAACCTTTCTGAGTAGCAGGATAACCCAAGAACACACAAGCTATACCTCTAGGCTGAAATTTGTCTTTGACAAGAGAGGGATTTGCAACAAAAGCCAAACACCCAAACACCATTAGGTGTTCATAGTTGGGAGCAGATTTGAACAGCTTCTCATAGGGAGTTTTATTGTTCAAGACTGGAGTTGGCAATCTGTTAATAATATGAACTGCAGTCATAACACATTCACTCCAATAAGAAAGAGAAAGTCCAGCTTGAAATCTTAGAGCCCTAGCAATCTCAAGGATGTGTCTATGCTTCCTTTCCACTCTTGCATTCTGTTGAGGTCTGTCTACACATGATGTCTGATGCACAATTCCCAATTCTGCAAAGAAAGCTTGACAAGGTCCATCATCAAACTCTAAGGCATTATCTGACCTTAGAAATTTGATTTTGGAATTGAAGTAGGTTTGAGCATAATTATAGAATGATTTCAGCTGAGATAAAGCATCAGACTTGTGTTGAAGCAAATACACCCAAGTGTTTCTAGAATAATCATCCACAATAGTGAGAAAGAATCTGTATTTTCCTCTAGTGCACACCTTATATAGACCCCAGATGTCCATATGTATTAATTCAAAGGGTGAGGAAGCATGTGAACTACTCAACTGGTAAGGCAGCTTTGTGAATTTGGCCATAGGACAGGTAACACATACTTGACTATTCTCAATAATAGTTCTTTTTACACATGGTATATGTTTCAGCTTTCCTAGGGAAGCATGTCCCAGCCTATGATGCCATATGGCAAAAGAATCACTTTCACATGTTGTCTCAGTCTTTGCTTTGAGACATGTATTAGTCTTGCAAGTTGGAGCTTCAGCAACAACATCAAATGGAACATCAAGCAAGAAATACAGCCCATTTCTTGCCCTGCCAACTCCTTTCACCTTTTTAGTGAGAGTGTCTTTGATCACACAGTGTGTTCCATAGAAATTAACCTCACAGTAAGAGTCCGTTGTGAGTTTAGGAACAGAGAGCAAATTATACTTGAAATTAGGAACAACAAGTACATTCTTCAAAGTGAGAGAGTTATTAAGTTCAGCATCTCCAGTATGAGATATATCAGCAGAATATCCAGTAGGCAAGATGATTTTTGGATGATTCTTAGTTACCAAAGTATCAGAGAGATAAGTTATACAAGATGTCATATGATCAGATGCACCTGAGTCAATTATCCACTCAGTTGAAGATGATGTTGCAGTATTACAGGACACCATACCAGAGAAGTTGGTGTCTATTTCTTCATCAGTATCACTGCCCTTAACAACTCCACTAGAAGATGGCATGAGCTTGAGAAGCTGCTGAAATTGCTGTTATGTGAGAGTTATACTGCCAGTACCTTGACTCCCAACCTAAGCCACAGCAGTAAGCTTGGGAGCTGTCTTAGCATTATTCCATTTCTGGTCAGGAACTCTGACATTAGATTTAGGTGCAACTGCAGGTTTATGCTTGGAATTCCAGCTAGGATAACCTATGACTATCCAACATCTGCTTTGTGTATGCCCTTTGCCCCCACAGGCTGAACATATCATAGTTCTTCCAGGAGGATATGAAGAATTCTTGTTATACATAGCATATGTGTCCTGCTCAGATTTTTGCAGCACTTCTCTTTGACTCTCTTCTTGTTGTAATATAGAGCAGGCAGTGTCTACAGTGGGTAAGGGAGTCATCATAAGCAGCCGAGTTCTCATTGCACTATAATAATCATCAAGCCCATTGAGAAATTGAAAGAGTCTACTTTCCTCCTGGTACTTACTTATAGTGTTCAACTGATTTCTCATTTCAGCAGAAGATTCAGAAATAATAGGCATAACATTCATGGAATCCAGCTCTTCCCATAGACTAGTCATAGCAGTATAATAAACATTTATAGCATTATTATTATGTCTAAGACTGTACAGGTCCTTGTTAAGTTTATACTTCCTAGACCCATTAGCCATAGAGAACCGTTTTTCAAGTTGTATCCATATTTCTCTAGCACTATTCACATATAACACAGACTTCTTAATATTATCAGAAAGACAAGTATGGATCCAAGAAATTACCATAGAGTTGCATGTATCCCACTGATCTGTTTTTACAGGATCAATTGCATAAGCAGATCTGAGTACAGTGCCCAGAACAAAACCAATCTTCTTCTTAGAAGTCAGAGCAATCTCCATGGATCTCCTCCATGATCTGTAATCACTTGCTCCCGTGAGCTTATCAACAGAGATGGTATAAGAACCATCATTGGGATGCAGATACAAAACACTATTAGTGTCAGCAGCCATAAAGATTGAATTTTTAAGAAGAAAAATGTGAGATTTGTGCAGCTAACACAGAAAGATTTGTTCTTTGTGATTAAATATCCCGATGTTGCATCTATGGCTCTGATACCATAAGAACTAAATAAACCTGATGCAAGGGGATTCAAATGAACAAAGAATAGAGAGAAATAGAGAAGAGAGAAGAAGTTGATGTATTGCTCAAAAACACAGAACAATCTTTCTTACAAAATAATGGCAACCCTACTAAGAGCATAAATACATATTATGGGAGGTAGCTTCCCAAACAGTCCCAGCTAATCATTAGCACTGAAAAAAAATAACAGTAACAATACACAATATTCCCTCCAGCTGGCAGAGCACTACAGGACAGAGAGCACCTTAGGAGCTGGCACCTTAGCTGATATAATCAGAGACTGATTAGAAAGGATTCCTACCCTTATTATATTAGAATGGATATTTCTTTTCAGTTATGCTAGAAAAACTTTGTATATTAAGAGATATAAGGTCTAATTATGTATTTGAAAATTATACTATCGTTCCTTAATTTTTGTAACATGGGAGTTTATGCATTATGCATCACAAATTCACAATGCACATTTTCAACCTTGAATATAATTAATTAAATTAGAGTAAAGAATACAAATAAACTATAATTATGTGTATACTTAAACAAACCTAATCAAATGGTAAAAAACACGACATAACTATATTACTCTATAACTTTTGTTTTACATATAAATCACAATATATAATTGAAGAAGAATGTGTGAATATTGTCAAAGTGCAAATCAATATATAATTTTTTTCTTAACAATTAATGTAGAGTATATGTCTTGTCAACATTTGAAATATACCCACTATTATATTTCAAAACACAAAGTGACAGAGATTAGGGTTGAGCAAAACTACTGAAAACCCGAAAACCCAAAAAACCGATTTGTAACCGTTCCGAAAATTAGGGTACCCGATCGATAACCATAACGGTTCAGGTACCCGTTTCAATAATTTGTTATCGGATATGTATTCATTTTAAAATTAATGGTTACCCGATCTGTTCCGATATATATATATATATATATATATATATATATATATATATATATTTCCCTACTTAAATCTATTTTATTAAAAATCTAAACTCTTACTTTACTTTATAATTACTTTATAATATCAATGATGAGTAATATTATTAATGATTTGGTCAAGCTGGAAAAAAAAAATAATTTGGTCAAAATCATATGATATTGTTGTTAATTTGTGGCTAATTATATCATAATAACTACATAATTAAATTTAATTATCATTATTGGATATCTTATTGGGTACCCGATAATCAATTTGAAAATCCAGGTACCCGAACTAATCGATTCGGGTTATGGATATCACTTTTAGGAATTTTGGTTATTGGGTACCCCAACCGTTAGTACTAACGGTACGAGTATCCGTCCCATGCTCACCCCTAACAGAGATAAATGCTTTGGAAATTGGAATAATTATTGTTATGATTTGGAGATTAATGGCACATCGCTACCCCACATAGACATTCACTTTGAAATTTAGCCCCACCTTGCCCCATCCAAAAATTCTAGAAATTTCACTTTCAAATATTTTAGAATTGAAAGTTTAAATTTTCAAATTTGGAAATTGAAAATCAATGTATAATTAAGAGGCTTACATTGATTTTTAATTTCCAAATTTGGAATTTAAATTTTCAATTCCGAAATATTTGAAAGTGAAATTTTCAGAATTTTGGGATGAGGCAAGGTGGGGCTAAATTTCAACCAATAGAAATTCACCAAAGTGAATGTCTATGTGTATCCTTTTCGACAATGGATACATAAGTGCCAACTAAGCACATTACTGTGCATGTCAGGCTGTGGGTGAAGTGGTAAATCCCCCTTAATTGGGAGAACCATGACAAGACATGATATGGCCAAACACGACAAAATACACTAAAATTAGTAAAACTTGGTTTAGGACCATAAATTAGGTGCAATGGCACGTGCTCTTAGGTTGTGCCTGGATCAAGCTTTAGATAATTTCGGTACATACCCCATAAGCTAAGCCTAGCTAGCATTAAAGCACATGAGTTCAGTACACTGCACAACCCTCAGCCAAAAGCCAACATTATTTCTTAAACAAACTCTTACTACTTTCTTAGGATGTTATTTTATATACGTAGTACAGTATTTTTTTTAATCTCCTTGCATTGTGTTTTCTCGTGTATCATGTACTGAGTACTTTATATCTTTAGTTCTTTATTACATACTTTAGCAACTCAAATTGCTGCAGAAACTGTTAAATACTTCGTACATACTCAAGCCCTGATTTCATACTTGATTTGGACAATTCAATCCGCAGAATCAAAACAGACCAATAACTAGTTCATATTTAATTGTTGTGGTAACCAAGTAAGAACAATATTCAAAAGCAAGAAAATCAATTAAAGTAGTGATTCCTGAATTAAAGAAGTCATTCTAACAATGGCAACAAGGAAACAAAAAGTCCAATTCCTTGCTGTGATCACAAGGCAAGAATCTTGTTCATTGGTGCCTTGCTGTAATATATATACCACAGTTGTTCTTGCAGTTTTTTGCAACACCTTGATCTAACAAAAAATGGCATTTTCACCATCCTTTACTTGCAAAAATACGCCTTACAAAAGCCTGACTGCTTCTCTCACCAATATAAGCTCTCAAGTTCGTAGAAGAAACCAACATACACCTAGAGTCAAGGTAGTTATCCCCAATCCTAGTATTTTCGGGACAGCGAATGTCAGAAAATGTATCACCCACAAGAAGCAGCCTGAGATCAAATGCAAATCCGCAGAGAAGCCAGAGTTCATCAACCTCGAGATTAACCTTGGTTCAGTTTCAGATGTGATTGATATATTTCGAGTATGCATCAATAATAAGAACAACACGGGGCAGTTAGAACGTCTCATGTCCGAAGACTGTTGCATTGTGAATTCATCTGATTTCATTCATTTTGCTTTGCCCGATAAGCGTGAGGGGAAAAAGGTTACAAAACCTGGTTTTATTTTAACTATTTACACAAACAATCTCATTCAAATTTGTTCACTATAAATGAATTCTAAATGTTTTCCTCCTGCAGGAAGTCATGATGTTGTTAAGAAAACTGGTTGAAATGATAGATAAACAAAAACTCCAATTCAAATTCCAAGTAAATACTTGTGAAGAACGACTTGAGGCGTCTCTGAATTGGAATTTAGGTACCACGCATCCATACTCTTCTTTTTTTTGTTTATGGTAAGATACGAGGTGCCCCTTCTATCACGGGAGGGGTTTCTATTCACTTAATTAGCTTAAAGTGTTTAAACTAACTGTAGAGCTTTATTTGGTTGTAGTGGAAATGGAGTCACAAGATACCAGATATCAAGGGTTCAGTAAAGTCCAGTGCTCGAAAGAAGGCGATACACTTGTAATAAGGTAATATGACCTGGAAATGGAATATCCAAACTACTTATCCAAATTCTCACTTCATAGGTTGCAATACACTGATCAGGAATTCTGACAATCCTAAGCAAATACTACTTGGTACTCTGTAGTAACAATTTACATTTCATTACACACAGGAAACTCGAGAACATAAATTATGACAAAACAAAGTAAGAACCTAGCAGTTCGCCAGAACAATCTTAAGGCATTGCCATTGCTCTTCTGTTTCGACCACGAGTCCAAAAATGGAACAAAGCCGAGGCAACTTGCTGAAGCCGACTAGCAGCCTTATCAATTCCAGTCTTTTTTGGCTCCAACGAAAGAACAATAACTTCTGTTGTAGAATACTAGAATCCCAAATATTTGTCTTGTGAGAACGTTTATTTTTACGGTTTTGTGATAAAAATGAGTTTATTGTTCTGCATTTCTATTATAATATAATTACCGCATGATCCTTGAATTGGATAATAGATTTTCTCAATAGATTTTGCCACTCAGCGTGAAGCTGATCGCCTGCGTGTACTCCCTCTAATCCTATCACCTTTTTCCCTTTACAAATCTTAACGGTATTCATAAGATTACCCATCAGAATTGACTCATCATGTGGTAAGAAAACTTGATGTCCCTTAAAGAAGGTCTCGAGTTTGAGCCTCACTAGAGACTAAAACTCTTGTTGGAAGGATGTAGTTGGAGCTAATTCATACCGAACACACCATAGTGACCATACCCTCTACGACTGGACGAATGGGCCGCGTCGGAAGTTCAGCATATACTATTACGCTCTAACCCATACTGGATTTGCCACTGACTAAAATGATCTATGGGTATATGGTATATTGGTCTTGTATGGACCCGGTCTACAATAAATTATTGTAGACCTAAAATTTGACACTTTCAAATAATATAATCACATTCTGGATGATATAATCACTTTTTTAGATGATATAATTATCTTTTTGTGAGTCATATTTTGATCTCATATTAAACCATTTAATGAAATTATATAATTATCTTTAGGATGATAAAATTTAAAAATCATCTTTTAAATGATGTAATTTACTATCTGATACTTTTTATAATGATAAATTCACTTTTTGAGTGATACATTTACATAATAGTTTCAAGATGATATAATCACTTTTGTAATAATATAATCACATTTCGTATGATATAATCACATTCGTATGGTACACTAGGAGGTTGGGTCTACAATAAGTAAGTTATTGTAGACCGGGTCTATTCTAGTCTTAAATCTATAAATTTTGATAGTTCGCATGACACATACACAAAATAAGACATTTTCAATAATAATTTATCAATTTCAATCTTAAATGGGACCATATAAGACGAAAGACAAATTTTATTTTAACATTTAACTTGATGCTTTCTTTAATGGAAATTATTACTATATGAGATAGTGAAATCTAAGTGGACTAAGGGTCTGTTCTCTTCCGTTGAAATTCAGTTCAGTTCAGCTCTTAATTTATGTCTAATGATATTGCTAATGATATAAAGCCAAATTTCATTCTTTTAAGCTCTTATTACAAAGACGACAACAGCAGCAGCAGCAACAACAACAACAACAACAACAACAACAACAACAACAACAACAACAATAATAATAATAACAATAATAATAATAATAATAATAATAATAATAATAATAATAATAAATAATAATAATAATAATAATAATAATCAATAAATAATAACAATAATAATAATAATAATAATAATAATAATAATAATTTGGGGTTAGATACTAGTTAGATACATGTATTAATTAAAACATTAAAGAGAGTTGGTTAGGGTGTTGGACTGTTGGGTTGTTGCCTCTGTTAGTTTTTCGTGTTTTTTTCTTTTCTTTTTTTTTCTAAATATTTTTTTAAAATTTGTTTAAATGGGTTATGTTTCGGGGTTTTCTGATGTCCTGCGGGAGAGTTACAATTCCGAGACTGGAACCGGACGCCTGTACCTGCAAAACAAACGGATGCTCCGGATGATTGGAGATCCGCCTCCGACGGTCAAGTTAGTACTTGATTAAGGAGTAATTAATGCGGAAGTTAAAGTGATTGGGTCTCTCTAGGTGAGAGTGTTTAATGTGTGTAATCTGCGTTTTTTCCCTTAATGAGGATTAAGGGAGGTATTTATAACCTCGGGAAACGTGCCAATCTAGGTTTAGGTTAACCTTGGGCTGATTGGGCTTCCCTCGGAAGTTGGGCCTAGGTGACCGGCTTCTCCATTAGGCGTGGAGTATGCCACATGTCATGACATAATAAGTCCAGGGTGGACGAATAAGTGTGTGCCACGTGGCAAGCCCTGAGAGGTCCAACTGGGGGACACTTGGCAGGACCTGATTGGCCCACGTGGCGCATTCCGATTGGTGGGAGCAAAATCCCCTAATCAATTGCCCCTCACAGGTGGCACGTGACTGGTCACGTGTTACCTGTGACAGGTGTCGCCCTGTAACAGGCGACGGCCTGCTACAGGTGTCACTCGGCGAGAGGCCGAGAGATTCTCCCGCCAAAATTTTGAATTCTGGAAGTGACCCTTCGCCTTCTCACTTTGCCTATATAAAGGAGTGTTGACTTCGGTCATTTTCACACTTGAAAACTTTGTGAGAGAACATTCGGACCCCTGAACTTGCTCTGACATTTTGGACCCTTTCTGCCTACCGCCTGCTCTGACAAGCCGACTGCAAAGGATTTTCAGAACTTCATCAATCGTCACTCGTTCAGGTAACTGTCGGTTCTCTTACTCTTAATTTTCTCTTTACTTTATTCTTTTTTGAAATGGCACCACGGAAGCATACGACACGACCTAGGTTAGTGATCAGCCGGTCACCGGGGACGGCTGAATCTAGGACTAGGAGTGCCGCCTGCCCTTTTCTGGACCCATCTTTGCCCTTTATACAAATTCCGACTGTATCTGTGTCTATGCAGAGCATGATGGCCAGAACAAAAAAGACTGCCAGGATCTCAAACTCAGACGGCTCCTCCCACAGGGTGCCGATTAGTGAAACATCTGACCAGGCGCCAGATGTGGAAGTGAAACAAAGCGGCTTGAAAGCCGGCAGTTCTGAGGGAGGAGTCAAAGTGACCCCTTCCCATTTTACAGTTGACAATTCTACATTCTCTCTTGCTCCTTTGAAAGGAGAGGAGGCGGGCCCCTCCGGGAGAGGAGAGGAGTCGTCCTCTTCGGACTCGTCAGAGGACGGATCCGAGTCTAGCTCTTCTGGCCATGCTTCTCTGGACACAGAAGAGAAAAACAGTCGCCTACAAGAGGCGATGATTTCTCACGCATTTGAGAAGGGGGACGATTGGACGGAGCCATCCGCCTCTCACTGAGAGCAAAATACCCCCTACTACTGCACGGTACCTCGGGGCCGGATCACGGCCATTCAAGAGAAAGTGGGGAGCTTTATCGCAAACCACACAATGGGCCCCGACTTTTTAGTGTTCGTGCCGGATCTAGAGGACACAGTCGTCTGGCCGGCTGGTACCAGTTATGATGGCGCCTGCTTTGGCTGCTACGAGGCGGCCATTAAGGCTAGGCTGCGCTTCCCACTACATCCGACTGTTCAGCGGATCTTGGATGGGTATGAGTTGGGGTTATGGCAGTTAGCCCCGAACTCCTGGGTCAACGTACTCGGCTATGTGGCCGGGTGCGAACTGCACGGGGTGGACCCCTAAGGCAGGCGGTACCGGCTGGTATCAATTGACGAGCCACAGGGGCTACCTCATGACGAGAGGTAAAGCAAACAAATGGAAGGACTGGCGGAGCACCTTCCTTATCATTGAGAGTTCAGACACAAAGCTGAACAAGCGCTTCAACAGGTGGAACAGGGATCCGCCCCTTCTTGCAGGCGGTCGCAGCATGCCGCCTGTTCCCCCCAAGGCTAAGAAAGAGATCCTAGATAAAGGACTCTTCAAATTAGAGTCGAAGGTGAACTCTACTTCAGGGGTACGAGAGCAAGTACCCTTGCACTGCGTCCCGAGCTTCAAATGGCTCTACGACGAGTACTTTTTGGCCGCCTTTGGCCTCAGTAGTCGGTGCTCAAGAGGTAGCCGGCCTGTCGAATACTCTGTTGTTCCGTGCATTTCTTGTTATGACTTTTATTAGCTTTGCTATTTGTTTTTGCAGCGGACGCCATGAGCAAAATTACCGCCTCCAAGACTGCGGCGGCCATGTTGCGGGCCTCCATCATGCAACAGTCTTCAACCGACTCCCCCAACAAGGGGGCACCCTTGGTGGGCTTCGAACCTTTTACCCTCTTTTTGGAGTTGTGTTTATGCATATACTGACTCTTTTCTTCTTTTTTAGACGGGCGCTCCAAGAGCTTCTTCTTCCCAACAGCCGGACCCCAAGGCCCGGAGGACGACTGTTGCGAGCTCTCCTGGTTCTGCCAAGAAACATGCGGCGGCTGAGAAACAGCCGGCCACTTCTTCTAAAACTCCAGCTGGGCCACCTAGAAGTATGAAATTGTCCTTGTAAATTTTAGACTTGCTCCCTTCTTTACTAGGTCTAATCCGTTTGTTTATGCTTGATGCAGCCGACCCTCAGGAGCCTGACTTGGTCGAAGTGGCCAAGTCTATGATCAAGGCCGTACCTCCAGCTGAAAGGGAGGCGGTCAGGGGTGTCGGCACCCTTGACCTAAACGGGATTGCAGGGGTCCTTGCTGAGGTATACTTAGCATATTTTTGAGTATTTGAATTCCGGACGCCTGTTTTCTTTTTGTTTGGAAACTGACGCCTGTTCCCCTTTTTACTTAGGCCCTGCTCCGAGTGAACGGCCTTCGCAAGCCGCTTGACCGGAAGAACAAAGAGGTAAAGGCTGCAAAAGCTATGGCCGCCTCTGACTGTGATAAGGCAATGTTTCAAATTGCCCAAAATGAAGTTCTGACAATTGATATTCTTTATTATCAGGCGCAGGCTACCGCCGCTATCCGGGCTCAGTTAGAGGCGGTCCAGAAGAGGAATAGCGAGCTGGAGGCGACCATCAACAACCTCAAGACCGAGCTGAGACCTCTTCGCCAAAAGATGTCCTCATACGAAACCTTGGAGAAATCCTTGGCGAGCGTAAAGGAACGCCTGGTGACCCAGGAGAAGAGTCTTACTCAGGAGCTCTCGGAAAAGGCCGAGCAAGAAAAGAAAGAGCTGGTCCGGGAGATGATGGAAGACTCTGCTCAAATCCAGCGCATGACTTGGGGCCGCCTCTTCCCCAATGCCGACTTTGCCTCCTGGGAAAAAACGTACCGCCAGTGTTCTGATAGATATAATCAAGAGATCCTGGCGGCTGCTGAGGAAGAGGCGCTGGAGGAGGAGGAGCAGCCGGTAGTGGCGCTTGTGCCGCTTGGGGGTAATACATCGAAGAAGGATGCAGCTGAAGCCGAGTCCAGCAAAAAGAGTGCTGACCAGGCGACAGCTGCTAATATTGAAGATCTGCCCCCTTCATAAGCTTTATGTCTTCTTTCCCCGGCCTGC